TTAATTCGAGTGTGCATGTATGTATGTATGTATGTATGTATGTATGTATGTATGCATGTATGTATGCTTGTATGCATGCATGCATGCATGCATGCATGCATGCATGCATGCATGCATGCGTGTGTGTGTGTGTCTGTATGTATGCATGCATGCATGCATGCGTGTGTCTGTCTGTCTGTCTGTCTGTCTGTCTGTCTGTCTGCCTGGCTGTCTGTCTGTCTGTCTGTCTGTCTGTGTATGTATGTATGTATGTATGTATGTATGTATGTATAGGTATGTATCTAGGTATGTAGGTATGTATGTAGGTATGTATGTAGGTAGGTATGAGGTATGTATGTAGGTATGTATGTGTATATATATATATATTTATTTATTTATTTATTTTTGTGTGTGTGTGGATGTTGGTGTTGGCGTTGGTGTTGTTGTTGGTGTTGGTGTTGGTGTTGGTGTTGGTGTTGCTGTTGCTGTTGCTGTCGCTGTCGCTGTTGCTGTTACTGTTGGTGTTGGTTTCCTTCCGCTTGCATTTCGTCAGCCTTCCCTCGCTGCTCGGGTTGCCTCGCGCCAGAGGCGTTGCGCCAGCAGCTGGTCCCCAGCCCTTGGAAGGATGGACAGTGCAACCCCGACATGCCGAAACAGCATTGTCGCTCCCTCAACCTCTTCTGCCGGAGGTGTGCCGAGGCTTTCGTGAACCCTGGAGAAGCCGAGAAGCCTAAGTCTAAGCGGAGGCCGAGCGACCGTATAAGTGCTCGAAGCTTTCGCCCGAAGTAGGGAGCGACCTGTGCAGATCACGTTCGTGAGTACCCCGCTCCACAAGCCACGCAGTTCGGTCTGTTTGGGCTCAGGCCTCTGGAACATGCCGGCTCTGTCTCTTTCTTGCTCTCTCTCTTTTCTTTGTTCCTTCAGGGTTCCGCCTGGAGCCGGCTGAAAGATAAATTTCGACGGCAATTGCAGCTCCAGTTCCGATACGATTATCTGGTTTCGCATTTTTTCACATGTCTGGTGATCAGCCCTCATGAGCAGAGGAGCTGAGAGGAGCTCCAGTGAGCACGAGAGCAGGACATTCGCATAGGAGTTGAGCGGCTTGAATTAATCAACGATCCAGGCGAGCGACGGAAAGTACATTTCTGGAGCTGCAGTTGAGGAGGCGGGCTTCTCGACCGAGGCTCTGACCCGATTTCCTTCCAAATGAAATCAATCAATGGCGGCCGGTGTAATGCCTGCCTGGCCCTTATGTAGACGGATTCTCGTAATGCTCACACTGAGTGCGCCTGCGCACGGACCGTGCGATAAAGCAGGAATGTCAGCCCAATCTGCAGCAGAGGAGAGGTTGGGCTGAGCCACGCAGAACTATGGGAGCGATCATCTGCATTGCATTTCCTGTTGCAGCTGACACACCCAGCCTGCAGCGCGGGAATTGCCAAGCTCAACACAGTGACCACGATGGATCCACCCTCATAGCCTTGGAGTTGCGTGAGGGACCCAGTTAAAAATAAAAAAGATTACCAACACGGACGGTTTTTTGAACGCATCTGGATTCGGAATACATGTGGATGTTGTTGTTTGACACCCCTGCAACATATGAATACAAGCAACGCAGGAAGATGATGGCGCAGATGGCTTGTGGGACATTCTCTAGGATCAGGAGGAACCTGGCAAAAAGATGGACGGCAGCGTATGCGAACCGAAAGGAAGAGTCTTCGCCTAAAACAATGCAACATGCAAACCGGCCCTCGCAGATCGACCCCAAGGGCCTTTTGGTTGGGGTGAGCTGCTTATACAGCAGCACAAGGAGCTCGTCCAGGAAAGCCACCTTGGCTCCTTCAAGGCGGTAAGACTCTGCCGAGGTTTCGAAAGCAAAGACACCATCGACAACACCAGCCCCGGCAGCCTGTCTCTGGAGTGAGAAGCAACACTGCGAGGTGCGAGGACAGAAGCTCCGCAATAGTTTCCTGCCAGTGCTTCTGAGGGTGGACTGCGAGCCGGGTTCAAGGTCTTCAACCCCGATTAGGGTTCTCCCTGTCATGAGGGGTGTTCTTCCGGGTCGTTAACTGTTTGCATCGGGTCCTCGTAGGCGAAGCAAACCACGTGGACTCCCACCAGCCACAGGAGGGAGAAAACGCCCATGGCTTGAATCTCCACATGTTCGGATTCCAGGCAGAGAAATCCGAACATGACGTCCTGTGCGCAGGGAACGAATGCGACGCCACACGCCCCAACCGCGGCATCCCCACAATGACAGTCCGAAGCGGGAGGTGAGGATCTGCGGCCCCACAAACAGAAAAGCAATCACTATTGCCAGTTGCAATGTTGCTAGGGATTCTAAGGCCTCAGACACACCTCTCGCAGACTTGCCGGCAAGAGAAACTCGAAGCCTGACCTTCTGTTTAGTCTCCTAGGTGGTTCGTTCCGATTGATTCCCGGCACCCCGAAGGCATGCCCCTATACCCTGTTCCGCATGTTGAAGTGAGCAAACTCTAACTTCGCAAAGCCGGAGCCTTTCTGCAACGACTCTCCGATCCTTCATGGTGTCGTATTGATCCGAAATCACGGGGGCCATGCCGGTGATGCAGGCCTGCGGTTCCAAGTTCGGGGCTATGGGCCTTTTAAAGTCCAAGCTTCAAGACTTGTGGCTTTTGCCTAGGGGCGAGGCTTCCAGGGCCCAAGCTTGGGTTCAGCCTCAGGGTTGGCACTTGGTTTGCAGTTTGAAGTGGTTGAGCAGAAGGCTGTCGCACCGGAGTGATGGAACGCTGTGTATCTGAAGCTGGTGAGGGACATGCAAAAAGCGAGCATAGCCAGAGCAGCATCAAAACAAAATGCATGGAATTCCTACCGAAATCACAGTAGCCCCGCGCCGCTGAGCTCAGCACTTTCAACCCTTGCAACCCAGAAGTCGTGGCTTCCGGACCCTTGCAATACCCCTGTGATAAACAGCTTCGCGACCAAGCCTGGGCGAAAGCCATAGTTCCGAACTTCTCACCGGGAGGAAGGCGCCGTGCCATGATCAGAGCTTGCACCACCTGCACATCAAAGGAATGAACGATATGCAAACCTCCCCGCTTGCAATGTAGCTACACTCTCAGCCATCTTCCCAAGAAACGCAGGTCTTTGCAGGGAGCTCCGGCTTAGCGGCTTGACACCAGCGTGCAGGTAAGGCCATGTTGAGATTCACGGTCATGGCCCATGCGAGCAAAGCTAAAGGCTTGCCAGAGCCCATGCTTTTGCCTGCAGCCTGAACATTCCAGCCTGTCTCTAACCTTTGTGCCTTTCGATAACAACTGCACATTGCTGCTCGGGGTTCGAGATTTGCCAACGAAAACTTCTTCGATATTCGGGTGCCCACCAGCGCCAGGCCACTGCATGCGAGGAGGCCAGCATACACCTCAGGGACGGAGAAACAACAAAAATGTAGTTCACGTTTGCTGCGACCCAGCCCCGGCATTCCACTCCACAGCATCCAACCCCGGCTCGCAACCATGTGACGCCGAAAAGCCCCTAAACCTGCACACACTCTGCGATCCCTGAACTGCTTCTTGCTCTGGTCTCGCTGGGTAAGCCCACGTGACGCTGAAGCCAAGAGTCTGAAACTCAAGGACTCCACGGGCCTACACATTGAAAATGCCTAAAAAGAAGACTGCATCATCCATTCGAGCAGGAGGGTCTTCTCTGAACATGCTTCCAAATAGACTGATCAGCAGACTACATCCCTCTCAGGGTTTCAAGTCAAGGTTGTCTGTCGATCCCGGGCATGCCTTGTCTCTACGATTCCAGGTCTTGTCTTGAGTCTTTTTTGGGGTTTCACGCCGATCGGTTCCCTCCAAACGTAGGCTCGAAGAGTTTCCGTGTGGCCGTAGCAACTCGAAGGGTCTCACAGAATCGAGCCCGAAACCACCGAATGCTCTCTCAAGCAATTTGAGCTGCCAGAATTCCGACACAGGGGAAGGGAACTCGAAGACTCAACATCGCCTCCCAGTCGGCACCGTAGTCTTTCGACAACCTGCCAGGTCGCTCAGTCGCTCAGGATTGGATTCTTCAGCGGCTGGGGTGGTTAGGGCCTTGTGGTGCAGGGAATGGCGCTTTAGAGATCGGGCTGCAGAGAGTGGTGGATGCTCTGCAGTCGGTCACCACCGAGGGTTTCTGCGTGAGATGGGCCGGGTTCTGAGCACATCTACGACACAACTTTTAAGAACATCCTGGCAGGCAGCTGGCCTTCCCGTGCGGCTGCTCCAGGCCAGGGCGGCGAAGCTGGTAGAGAAAGTGATCGTCAGAGAGATCGCGAGGAGCACCTTGCAGGACACGTAACGGGGCCACTGGAGTCGGGCTCGCTGTTCAACGCTGTTCCGGACCCGGGCCCCTTCAACCTTTCTTAGAAGCTTGTGCTGACATGGGTCCGCGAGTCTCGCGGAAGTAGCCTCAAGACAAAGGAGTGCTGCTTGAAGACAGCATGCATCACCAACATGCCGAGCCGTGTTCCAACAGCCTTCTTCGTGAGAGCTTCCCTCCGCAACATTCCCCACTCTTCCGAAGGAAGACATTCAAGCGTCTTAACCACCAGTGCAAGGCTTGCCTTACAGGGATGCGCGAACCTCCACTTCCTCTCACTGGGTCAGGCGGTGCCGAGATCAAGAGTTGAAACGACGAGCATGGCCGAGCAGCCCGGGAGCTCCCGAGCTCGCCTCCAGGAACTCCCACGGCCACGAGCTGCGACGAAGCAGACAAGGAGAAGGAGACCAAGCTCGCCACTTCAGGTAACCCCAACAGGACGCTTTGAGGGCATCCGCCCTCACCCGCCCTCGCCTCTTTACCTCTCCAATGTGCAAGGACGAGGCACAAGTGCGGGTGACCGTGCTAGAACTCGCATCTGCCGTGCTGTTGCATTAATCTTCCTGCGATCCTTTTGGCTATATCGGGCGAATGCATGCCAGACCCAGGAGCTCCAATGGCAGTTGCCGGCCCCCAAAGTCACACACGAGAGCAAAACGATGGTTCCTACAAGAATGCGCGTGAACAACCTGCCCAGCTGGTGAGGAGCGAGAGAGCCATCTCGAGAGGAGCAAGTTGCTGATGCTGAGCTACAGTAACGAACACAGAGGACCCTAAAATGCAAGAACCCATGTGCAAGCATTGTCAGAGTTGGCTCCCCCCGCACAATCCGAATCCTCGCTGGAAGCACTAAACAATGCAGAGCCCCACCTTGAGAGTGCGAGGCGTGAAGGCCACGGTCACGGTGGATCGCTCGACTGTACTGTCCTGTTCCTCTGCACGGGAGACCACTCGGGAGGCCACCTTCACGGTACCATAACCGCCGCCTTGAGAGGATACAGGGTGGAGACTCTCAGATGTTCCAGAAGCCACTCATAGAAATGCGCAGGCTCTTGGATTCGCACTGCAAGGTCTAAGGTTGGGGGCAGTGAGCTGGCATCGGCCTTTTGGTGGACACCGTGCGCCACACGTTGCACTAAAACCGACTTAAACCCGGAATGGCTCTACAATGCCGCTTTGCCGAATCAGTCCGAAGCCTCAAGTCTGAAACGTTCAATGTCAGGTTGTAGTTCGGTGGGCTTCCTAAGCTTCAAGGGCAATTCTTGCTTCCTCCCAGTATTCAATCCGAGAACACAAGCTTTCAAAGACAATGTGTGGCCGGAGTCACAGAAAATCTTGTCGCGGTGCACTCTCCCCCTCTCTTCTAGAACACAACCAAAGTCACGAGTCACGCGCCCTGACTGCCAAGGGACTTCGGTGCTGCACTCAAGAATTCGTAAGCAACACGTGGCTCCATTTAATGGCTGACTAGATACACCTGAGCCCGGATCGGACCGCGACAGTGCTAACCTCGACACCCGAAGCTAGTCTGAATCAAAAGACTGCACATGACGCGTCCTTTAGTCGGAAATCCGTCCAAACCCGAGCCCAGCCTGGTCTCGCAGGATCTGTCTGTGTCCCCCGTTCGGCGCATTTCAGGATTAACGTGCCAGCGACCGCCACAAGAAAGGCGATGCCAAGCATAATCACTGTCCAAACATGCCACCTGAGAGCATGGGATTCAGTATTCGTCCGAAGGTGACAGGCTGGCTTCTGGTTTGGTTCGTTCTTGAATCCTCTCGAAGTGAACCCTTGTTGGGTGGTTCCTACCGCTTGAGCCTTTCTCAGCTGCGACTCTTCGCGCTGCCAAACCCCGAGTTTGGCATGTACATGCAAATACCATGAACTTAAGCTTGAACCTCGGGTCTCGAAACCCCGCACATGAACCCCAGATGCGCATGCGCTCTCCACGCTCAGGCCGACCCACTTCCCTTGCAAAAACCTCAGCCCAGCCGGAGCCTCGCGGCGGTCTCGGGTGCATCCATGTCGTCTAGCTCTTTGACTGTTGGAAGGAAGGGCTCTTCAACCAGTGTGAAATTGTTCCATCCTGTGTCAAACAAACGGAAGGCTGTTTTGCAGCAGTTTGCGGGAGAACGACTAACCCTCGGCCTGTGATGTCCGGGAATATCAGGCACTCCACCACCTCCATCAGAGCGACGTGGAGGAGCTTCATCGCCCCCAAGCTGCAGAGGATCTTTGCCTCTGCGGCCTTCCAAAGTGGGACCTTTGCCCGGCCAATTCAAAACCCTGAATTATGGAGCTAGAACCCTCAAACCACTGAAGAGATGCTTCTGAGTGGATCGCCCCCTTCCTACATGTAAGCCACTCCAGCACCCACGAAAACTCGTTGAGAACGCTGAACAACATGTTCAAGTCCAGGCCCTGGGCATGGTCTCACTTCCTGGAAAGAGCCACAACAGCGAGCGAAAGCAAAGCTGCTGCTTCAGGGAGCAATTTCAGGGCATGCGGGGCCTTGGGTTGGAGCCGGACATCACACTTTCTTCGAGGGGGAGCGAAGGGACAGTGGCCGGAGTCAAACTATCCACAGGCTCAGTGCCAGTCGAACGAAGGTTCTTGGTCGGAAACCGCCACGAAGCTGCTATTCCCGTCGGTGATTTCAGGCAGCGCGCTGCCCAAAACCCGACTGATTGAAAACAGTCGTGTCTGGAGCTCCAGCTATTCCTGCCCCCTCCCAGCCCGAAGGCCCGCCCTTTTGCTCGCGCGGCATCGCGCCTGCTATAGCAGCCGGCCGCTGGGCGCTGCATCGAGGAGCCGCTTGGGAATCTCGCACTTCCGGCTTTCGGCCTTGGAAAAATGTAGGAAGCTTTAGCAGATAATATACTGTAGTGTATCATTTGCATAAAAGAACATGTTATCATACAATATTATAACCATCACCATACTCATAATCACTTTCGGGCTTCAGAATGCTGCTGAAATGTCTGCTCGTCCTTGCGCTTTCGGCCCCGGTCCTAGATCTTCTGAGCTCTTTGCTCCTGGGAAGCACCGACCCCTCACAGGCTAAGCAACCGCGGATCCGAGCAAGAAAGTCTGAACAAGAAGCTGCAAAGGACGCCCCGAACACAAGAGTGCTTTCCGGCTTTCCATTTCCTAAAGCAAGGATCCTTGCGGGAGGAAGCGCAAGTGAAGATCCAAACGTGGGCCTGGAGATTCCGGAAAACTGAAGGTTCAAGAGCTAACAGTCCAACCTGTGCGACACCCCGAACTCCCAGGAACGGATGTGCAGAGTTCTCCTTCTCATCCCCATGAAGAAGGCAGAGGCCTGCAAGAGGTCACAAGAGGATCCCGTGTGTTGCCCTGAACCCCTTCGGCTCATGCCCCGCGTCCCCAGCCCAGGTTTGCTCTTTTGTGTGGCCGCTCGGAGTGTCGGATCCTCTGTGGGCGGCTCGGATTGCCGGCCTTGGTGTGCAGGGCATGTTCGTGTGCCGCAGGTCGAGGCAAAGCAAAGGCTGCATAATCTAAACTCTAAACTCTTTCTCGTGCTGTCGGCTTCGGGTCGCAAGGCTTCACGGACCCTGCTCGGGTGTGGCATTTGGTGGTTGAGAAGAGCGGAAGGGTCTCGAAGCCCAAGGTGCAATGCAAGGCGCGGATGCGCAGAACACAACATTCTTTCAAAGCTTTGGGCCTCGGGGTTGAAGACTTCGGGATTCAAAAGAAGCTCCCGATGAAACTTTAAAGCAGCATGTCTGAGGCTGTCGTTGGCTACGGTTTCCTGGTTCAAAACAGAAAACTATCAGCATTGCGCCCGACCAATGCGAAGCCTACGCACCCGAAGAGCCATGAAACCAAAAAATCCAAGCTGATCCGCTTCAGACAGGGAGTAGACCCCTGCAGAACGATCAGCCTCAGCCCATGCTACACCCCAATGACGGGAAATGTTGATTCGCATGTCGCTGTTTTCGAAAGACCTCCAGTTGCCCACTACAGGTGCATGTGTTGGGTTGTTGCGATTCGCGTCACGACTCCTGTCAAGCTAGCCTTCCCATTCTACTCCTGTGTGAAACCTACCTGGTCGGCTCGGCCCGAGGTTCAGACGAAGAATCGGCGCAGCAACCTCCGTGGCACTCCTCAATCCCACGGCCACCCAAGGAAAGGAGAAGTCGAGGAATGAGGCCCTTGCGGTTGTTGCTTTGAGGGCCTCTGGGACACTCAGGCGTCCGAGCTGTTTAGGGCCGTTTCGCGGTTCAGGGTTCTGCCAGTTTCGTGGCTTCAGGCCTCTACGGCTCAAGATTGGGGCTTGGGGTTCATGCCTTCCCTTCTGAGCCTCGGTGCTCCCGCCACACCAGCCCCGCAGTTCGCATCGCAGATCTCCTGCTTCTCGGGGTCTTCGGCACGGAGGGGCTGCCTGCGGCTCCTCCTGGGTCTGGACCTGGACAAGTAAGGCGTTGCTGGAAGGCAGAAGAGAGAGGAAAGGAACTTCAAGAGTCGACCCATCCCCCAGAAAACCAGACTGTCGCGACTGAGACCCCTCCTTTGAAAAAAAAGGCATCACTTGGGACCGGCCACGGAATGAAGACTCCGGAGACTCGGCTCCGAAGCTGAAGCCTTCCCAAGTCTCCCTGTCTGGCCCCTTTTGCTTTCGATGAAGCGAAGCAGAGAGCCAGGTGCAACCAAGGACCATCGAGAGGAGACTGAGACCCAAGTAAGATGGTTCTTGGTTCTCGGAGCTGGACTCGCAGCTGATATGCTGTACCGACCTCGCCCCCCAAAAAGCAACTGACGACGACTGCGTGTTGTGAGACCAATGATTTCGCTTCCAACAACAACAAAAAAACAATCAAGACACAACCCTTACAGCATCAGTGTTTGGGGAAAGTGCTCACCGGACTTCTCTTGAACAGGTCGCGGACAGCAAAGCTCTTTCGGAGCACCAGTCTGTAATTCTCTCCTGAGCAAAACCTCCATTCCGAGAGCCTCCCGCGGAGGTGCCTTCTGCTCCGAATGTCTGAAAGTTGGAAAATGATGATGAGAAAGGCCTCCGAACTTCGTCCGTGCCTGACCCGGTCTCAAGGAGCGTACATGTCAATACCCCTGCGAACACTCGCTGAGAATTTAAACAGCAGCTACGACCCCCGAGGCCCGGGCGGAGCGGGTTGGACATCGCCCAGTTCTCTCCAGCTCTCAGCCACGGTTGCGGCGCCTGCATCACCTCGGGCGAGAGAGATGGGGAGCCCCAAGCTGCCAGCATCTTGCTACGCTCTGCCACTCTGAGTCGCTAAGGGTTGTAACGTTTTCGCATGATGGACTTTAAAATTCTGCTTACCCCAAATAAGACTCGGCTGACCAAGACGTGAGGCTGTACGGTGCTGGCCCGAATCTGATCCAACAGCGAAGCACCACAATTTAGGGTTTAGGTGTTAGCGCGGTACAGGCCAAATCCATGGGACACCTTCGTACCATCACCCACTTCTGCTTTTGCCGTGCAGCCAAGAAACCACAAAAGTGGAGCGAGTGGAGGACTCCAGGCGCCTCCGGCGTTTGCAGCCACCACGGCGACACCTTCTCGTCAGCTCTGAGGGAGTCTTTTCTTCAAGAGGGGTACTAGACGGGTTCCCTATAAGGCTTTTTGTATAGGGTTGCCACACATTGCTATAAAGGGTGGCTTTAGGGCTGTAAGGGTCTGGTGAATCAGGGCTGTGCTTTCCAGTTTCGGGAAAAAAATGGCTCCGAACTCGTCCGGAATCGGTTGCGACTTCCTGCAGATGAATATGGGGTTTGAGGTTGCTGCATGGAGTATAACGATCAAAGTGCACTGCGTCCTTGCAGTTCCAAGAAGGTTGGGCGTGCGGAAGACACCTGTATTCAGCGCTGCGTTGACCGGCTTTGCTGAGTGTTGCAGTTGGGTTTAGGTTTCAGGTTTAGAGTCTAGTATCTATTGTGGCTTTCAGCTCTGGGGCTGTTGGGTTTTAGGGGTTTGCGGTTCAGG